AAAGAGAAAGGAAGGAAGGGAAAGAAAGAAAGATGGAGGGAGGGAGAAAAGGAGGGAGAGAGGGAGGGAAGAAGGAAGAACCTTTCTGGTTAATATCCAAAATGCACCAAATCCCCTCATGTTTTTGCCGTAAACTCCCTTTGCCAGTGTGAAAATCAGCCTCAGTATCTGCAAATCAGCATTTCTCAGGAAGCTGGGGAGGAGTCTCAGACAGTGCATCTAGTCTCTCCAATCACCCCCTGGACACAAAGTGTCCCTATCTGCCATGCTCCAAATTCTGCAACAAAGCACATTCTGAATTCCCCTTCTAATACAGTCCTCAGCAACCCCAGCAACCTAGCTGTGCCTTTTGGGAAGCCATCAGCTCCAGTGCCTGTCTGCATAAATGCCTTATAAATGTGTTTATGGCAGTGTAGCCAGAACCAAACATCAAGGTAGTTAATCCTGTTGTATTTGGACTTTTTTTCTAGATCTGGTTGGCCCTGGTGCAGACCCAGGCCCATATCCCCACTTGTCCTGGCCAGTGGACATACAGACCTTGCTCAAAGCGCAGCTGTACGAGTGACATTTTGCTCAAGCTCTCAAATCTGTTGGCTCTGCTCTGAGTCATACTCCAGCCATCTGAGGTGGAGACTCCCAAGGCCTCTTTTGCCTGCCTGTTTCTGCTGTCAAGGAAGCCCCCAGAGAAATCTGTGCTCCGGCTTTAAGTTCAGGCAGCAAGTGGCCTGGAATCCATGTGCTCCTGTTACACACTCCCACCTGGGCCAGGGGTTGGATGGTCACTGAATGTTGGGCCTGGATGGGCTCAGAGGCCAACCAGGCCAACCCCCTCATTTCCTTAGTGAGGTGGCTGAACCCCCATGAGGGGGAGTGACTTACTCAATATTCTGTTGTACAAGCGTGGCAGAACTGGGCCCATATTCAATAAACCTACATGAGTGGGGGTCAGAACCAAGCTGTACTCACAAAGTAAAGCCCACTAATGCCCCTAGGCCCCCAGAATTTTCTCAAGCCCAAATCTCCTCTTAGTGTTTCACCAAGAGCTGAGCCCTACCACCACTACCCCTATCCCATCACTCCACGAATTACTCAACAAATCTTGGGGTTTTTGTCCTAGGCCTCCTCCTCTCCTCTTAAGCTCTTACCTCCTTAATCCTATTTGCCTCAGCCTTACAACTTCTAACTCCCATCCTCTACCGGCTCTGTGTAGCCAAAGATCCACACAAAGACCCAAGGATCTCTGATTTCCTGCTCTGGAAATACCCCTGGATTCCTGGTCCCAGAAATTCAGACACAGCCCTCTCCTCTCTATCTGGGACTTGTGTTCCTCCTCTTATCTCCAGTGAGGTCCACTTTAGGCCCAGGAGTTAGACTCAGAACTGACCAAGCAATTTGAGCCCCTGCCCCCTCCCCCTCCCTCTCTTGTGCTCCCAGCTGAACTGACACAAGCTAATTCTTGCTGAGTCAAGTCCATGTGGCAGCCCCAGGTGGGACATCACTGAGCCCCCAGAGGGAACGCTGTACTCACCTGGTTCCTCAGGGAGGGTCTCTCCCATTTCCCTGTGCTCAGGGTTTCCTGGGAGAGTTAGGAGGGGCACATAGGAGGTTAGTAGGATTATGGGGCCTGCATCCTCAGGACCAAGGACCAGGGGCAGGATTGGGTTAGAACCAACACAGACCCTTCCCTCACACAGATGCCTCCTCTCCACCCCACACCCCAGCTCCCCTGCCTAGGGAATGCTCTCGCCTGTAAAAGGTCTGGTCCAGAGAGACAAAAGTCAACTAACCCACGGGGACTCCTAGGAGTGTCAGAAAGGCCACTCCATTGCAGCTGTCTCAGGCTTGCTCAGTCTTTTGAAAACACACCTCTATCTCTCGGTATTTCTCTCTGTATCTCTACACTTATCATCAGTAACTGAGGTCCTGG